GAGGAGTGGGACGCCGCCAGCCGAGCCCTCGAGGGGCGCGCGGCGCTGGTGGCGAAGGCCGCCGCCAAGGCCTCGCGACACCCAGGGAGGGAGGCAGGCGGTAGGCGTAAGTCGGGCACGTCCCTCTACAGGATGAAAAGTCAAAAGTAGTCAAACAATAGTTTGGTGACGGTTTTGTTTAGTATGTTTAGCTAGTTGGGAGTATTTGTTGAGTATTTTTCATTTTTCGTACAACGGCCGCCTGTAGGGGGACATGCCCGACCTAACGGTAGGTGGGGCGAGGAGAGGAAACGCGAAGGGAGAGGGGCAGGAGGGGGAGGGGGAGGAGGAGCTCAGTTCAGTTCAGTTGGCCTTGGGAAAAGGTCAACTCACACCAAGGGCGGTGCCGTAAACGCTTCTGGGCGTCGCTCTGCGACGGGGGAGTGGCAAGCTAGGTGCGCTCGCGTCATGTCTGACGTCCTACCCCCCCTCTCATCCCTTACCATGTCGTAGATCTCCTCTCTATCCGCACAGTGGATGACGTAGCATGGCATAGCATTACATGGCATAGCATGGTGTTCAAGATCAACTCGTAGCATGACATAGCATGGCGTGGCGACGCCCCAATGTGGGGGGGGGCTTCTGCGGCCCAACAAATCAACAAACCGACACCGAATGTGGAATTACTTCCGATGACTTCTTCGGGGGGCATGTTCTAAATGTTGGGGCCCATTTGGAAGGACCCAAAACAATGCCGTAGCATGGCACTGGAAATACTGACGCCAGCGCTGCAGCGGGAGCACGATTCGGAACGAGCGGAAGCGCGGAAATGCGGCCAGCGCTGCAGCGGGAGCACGATTCGGAACGAGTGGTAGCCCGAGAACGAGGCCAGCGCATCAGTGAGAGCACCATTTTGATAATGTTTAAACAAGCGCGGAAGCGCGGAAATGAGGACGCGTAGCTTGACATAACATGGCGTGGCGACGCTCCGAAGTGGGGGATGGCTTTTGCGGCCCCGAAATCAACGAACCGGCACCGAATGTGTAATCATTTCCGATGGTCTCTTCGGGGGGGCCATTCTCTTGATGTTGGGGCCGATTTGGAAGGACCGAAAACCATGCCGCGGCATTGCGCTAGATATAATTGACGCCAGCGCTGCAGCTGGAGCACGATTCGGAACGAGCGGAAGCGCGGAAGTGAGGCCAGCGCTGCAGCGGGAGCACGATTCGGAGCAAGCGGTTGCCCGAAAATGAGGCCAGCGCATCATCGAGAGCAGCATTTTGAAAAAAGCCCAAGCGAAAGCCCGTTTCCCCGGAATAGGCTCGGCTAGTACGCGGAGGGGGGCCGAATATTTCCCGGACGCCACAAGGGGAGAGAGGAGAGTAGTATTCATAGTGTGTAATTGTAGAGGAGGAGGAGGACCACTGTAAACCCCAGACGCATCACCGATGTTACAATATAAACCCTCCCTCCAGTTTCCCCCACTCGTAGGTCCCTACAAAAGTTTTGCTATTGCGGGGAGTGCCGCGTGGAAGACAACCGCTTGAGAATCTCAAACTGTGCCAGACCACCATTCCAGGATCTTCAGCCATACAAGCGAATCCTTAACTGCGGCCGTACTCTTTCAAGTCGAATGTGCGCGGCACTGAAGCAAAAACCACATGTTGAAGCGCAACCGCCCTCCATCACTCGGAATAGTTGTAAATCTTAACGCATGTTAGAGCGAGAGTCGCATTTTGAAAAGAAATCGCCTTCCTTTCTCGAAATTGTAGCAGTATTTTATGACGAATGTGCGCGGCGCCTAGGCGAGGGCATCATTTTGAGAAGGATCCGGCCTCTTCCTTCGAAGCTGATACAAGTTTTAGGACGAGTGCGCGCGGCGCTAAGGCGAGAGCCACATGCTGAAAACCGCCCGGTTAAGGCGAGAGACGCATTTGGCAAAACGACCCGCCCGCCATCTTTGAAGATGTTGCACATTCCAAGCTTCAGGACCGTACGTGGTGAGGACGTCTCAGGCGAAACGTCCGGCCCGCCCTGCCGACGCGTCGGGGGATGCGACAGGGAGGAGTTGTATGTGGAAAAGGGATGGTCGGATGGGGCTAGGACGACGATCAATCTGTTCGAGAGCGTTCTGCAACGCTGTCAGAGCGTCCCGGAATGCTCTGAGAAGGCCGCGGTGCCCGAGATATCTTCCAGAGCCGCCGGCAGAGATTCTCGATTTATCCTCACCCGAATTTTCCCTCGTCCTGGCTTCGTCTTAGATGGAGGCGGCGGGGGGCGGAAGGAGAGCGAGAACGAACTGAGAGAGGAGACGAGAAGCAGAAGGGCACGGTGACGATGACAGGGGTGGGATGGGGAGGAGAAGGAGGAGGAGGAGGAGGAGGAGGAAGAGGAGGAGGGGGGGGAGGAGGAGGAGGAGGAGGAGGAGGAGGAGGAGGAGGAGGAGGAGGAGGAGGAGGAGGAGGAGGAGGCGGAGGAGGAGGAGGAGGAGGAGGACGAGGACGGGGACGGGGACGGTAACGAGGATGACGAGGATGACGAGGAGCAGGACGAGGAGGGGAGGAGAAGGGGGAGGAGGAGGAGGAGGAGGAGCAGGAGGAGGAGCAGGAGGAGGAGGATGACCGGTGCAAACCCAAGAGTCATTAACGATGCTGGAGTAGACCCTCCCTCCAAGCTCACTCTTCATAGGCCCCTACATTGGTTCATTTCCATTGAGGGAACTGTCTCGTTGGAAGACACCCGTTTGCAGACCCTGAAGCATGCCAGCACATTATTCTCGGGATTCCAGCGCCACGGATCAACCTGACTGTTGCGTCTCGAAGATCTGAATCGTGCCAGAACGCCATTACTAGGACTTAAGCACAGAGAATCACCATAATTGTTGCGCCCGCATGATCCTGAACCTTTCCAACACATAATTCCTGGTACGTTGATGACGGGAACCCGTCAAACTCTTGAACATTTTGAAAACTAATGTGCGCCGCGCTACGGCGAGAGCCACATTTTGAAAACCACCCGCCCTCAATCTGTGAAACTTTTAGCATTGTTTTACAACGAATGTGCGCGGCGCCGAGGCGAGAGCCACATTTTGAAAACCTCCCGCCCTCCATCTGTGAAACTGTTGCCACTGTTTAAGCTTTAGAGTAATACATGATGAGGAAGTCTCAGGCGGAACGTCCGGCCCGCCCTAAAAATTGGCCTCGGGGCGCGACAGCGAGAAGTTATTCAATCGCTTCGCTCATTCCGCCGGCCCTGGAGCGCTATTTGGGGCCTCTTGGGGCCGTCTTGGAGCTTCTTGGGGGCTTCTTGGGAGCGTCTTGGGGCTCCTTGGCGGCGTATTGGGCTCCCCTGGGGCATCTTGGGGGGCTCTTGGGGGCCCCTTGGGGCGGGAGGGGGGGTAGTCGTTGGCAGCCCCCCCCCTCGGAGGCCACGATCCTCGTGAGGGGTGGCGAAAAATAGCCTCCCCCTGGGGATCGCCCGGGGGTCAGCCGGGGATCGGCCGGGGTACTTTTCGTCCGGGGCCCCCCAGTGGCCGCTCCGCGCGCGCGAACTAGAAATGTTGTTAAGTAGTTACCGGAGATCCTAGCACGCCTCTGGCCCGTTGGGCCGGCGAATTCATCAGAAAGAGGAATGGAGGAGGTCGAGGCGACGACGACGGCGAGGAGGGGGGCGACGACGGGCACACGGAGTTGGACGCAGACCCAAGAAAACCGCGCGGAGCGCCAAATTTTCATGTGTGTCGCGTTCTTTGTTTCGATTCTAAGAAGCCTTCCCCTTCCCCCCCTCGCGCGCAGCAGCCGACGGCCCCTCTTCCTCCTCCTCCTTCTCCTCCTCCTCTTCCTTCTCCTCCTCATTCAGCCAGGCGTTTTTTATCTAATTCAGCCAGGCCGTTGGCTTGGCAAGCCGGATCGGGAACCTCCGCGTCACGTACCTGACGTGATGGCGTTCGTCACGCTCGCAGGTCAGGAAGCAGGTCAGAAAGGGAGCTGGTGCACGGCGTCCCTGTTGGACCCGCGGGGCTCCGAGGCAGAGGAGCTCGACGTGAAGATCAGAAGTGACGACGCGCTCGCGGAGCTCCGCCACCGGACCCGTAACTCTCGTCATTGCCACCAGAACCCTTGTTCGATCTTGTCCTCGCCGTTGCCCAGGCAAGACCGCCTACGATCCGATTCGATGCGATTCGATTCGCCGGCTGGGGCTGCGATTCCAATTCGAAGCGGGCCAGTCGGAAGCAGAGCGCGGCGATTCGATGCCGATCCGCTTCGGGACGATCCGCCTGCGATTAGATCCGCTCTCGATCCGATCCGATTCCGCGACCCGATCCATCGCAGACCTGCCAGTCGGCGGCGACGAGAAGGGCGAGCACCCCAGGGGCGGGCATTGCATGCATTCGCCCGGGCGCCTTGTCGAAGACATCGATCAGCGGCGCCCCTGGATACACGTGTTGCTCTCCCCCGGGCTATTCGCCCCGTTCGTCGCCTCCGATGCCAGGCCCGTGCCATCATCGTCTCGGCAGCGGGGCGACGGCCGCCGCGGGGCCCCCCGCCACGACCACGTCCGCCGGCTCTGTCGAAGCCGGGGCTCCTCGCGGGCAGCGCTCGTGGAGAGCGCAGGGGCCCGGGGCCGTTCGTCGTCGTCGTGACGAGGACGGCTTCGGCGGTCCTGCACAGAGGGAGCTTAAGGATGTTGCTCAAGGGGCCCAAGGAGGCACACATAGATACACACACACACAAATCCTGGGATCCCCGATATGTGTTTAATATTTGTTGGATGTTCGTCTTCCCCCCCACGTCCCACATTTTCGCATATTTTCTTGGGGAATCGTCGGTTAAGAGTGTTTGTGTTTTTTCCCTCCTGAAGTTACGGTGTACAGTGGGACCCATGCCATGAAGCACCCTGCTTGCCTCCAGGGTGCCCTGGGTTTCTTGGGTTTCGACGTTTTTGCCAAGATGGAAGGCGTGACGTTCCCACACCAAGAATCAAGGGACGCCCTGGGGTCTCAGGGTTGGGTTTCCTGTGGAAGGTTTCTTGTGGACTGGCCTCCACGGTGTTGCGGCATCGTTGGCGCCATCTTGGTGTTTCTTCGGTCCTTCTTCTCCTCGTCAGTCTCACTCTCTCCATTCGCTCCTCCCTCCCCCACCTCTCCCCCCTCCTCCCCTCCCACCCTTCTCCCCCCCCCTCCTCCTCCCCGTGCACGCGCGCCGCGCGAGACCGCCGCCCTCCTCCTCGCAGGTCGAGGTGCGGCTGCGCTTCCTGGGCATCACGGCCGTGGAGGAGATCGCCCGCCGGCCCTCGGAGTCACCGGGGGGAAGCGGAAGGGCGATGGGGAAGGGCGATGGGGGAAGGGCCCGGGGGCGGAGGGAGGCGGAGGAGGAGGAGGAGGAGGCGGAGGAAGAGGAGGATGGGAGGAGGAGGAGAAGGAGGAGGAGGAGGAGGAGGAGGAAGGAGGAGGGCGGAGGGAGGAGGAGGAGGAGGAGGAGGAGGAGGAGGAGGAGGAGGATGGGAATGTGTTCTTGGTTCGGGTGATGCTGACGCGAGCACATGCCTGTGTTGATCACGGAGGGAGTACAGCCAGGCGGAAGACTACAGTGGAGGCATATGAAATAGGGGCCAGGCTGCCAGGCTACTCGATGTATGGGACCTGGATCAACGCACAGCTTCGAGGTATCTGACAAGGTAGGTGAAAGGAATGGAGTGGACAAACACCTGTCGCAATCGAGGAGAAAAAGTGGAGGGTTCGTCAGTCATTCTGGAGACCCTGCCTGAATGATACAGGACTCCACCCGAGAAGGGTGGGCAACGCACAAGAAAAGCGCGCCTATCACAGTAGGAGCCGTGAAGGCAGCCTTCAAATCGGAAGCCTCCCTCTCGCCCACTGCCGCTCCCACTCCCCGCCTCCCCCTCCCCCATCCTTCTCCCGGCCTCCCCCCCCCTCACGGAGTCCAAGGTCTCGAACAGTAGTGATTTCGCCGCTGTTCCAGAATGCAGGTATACATCTCTACAGTCCAGTCTCGCTGGTGGCAGATGAGGATCTGAAAAATCCTCTCCTCCCTCCCCAGAGATCCGATGTCTTGATTTTCTCAGTGTGGGGTCCCCGGAAGTCTCGACCCATTCCCCAGGACCGGTTTTTCATCCCGAGTCATTTTGTCCACGGTCCCGAGGCCCGGCGAGGGCCCCTAAAGCCAGCGAGATTCGCGAAAGACTTCCGCCTACAATTTTTCAATACGTTGGATCCCTGGGTCCCCTCCTCGCTCTCCTCCCTGGGTCAACTCCCTGCCTCAGGACCGCCTGCAAGACCACGTACCCGAGACCATCGCGGCCCTGCGCGGGGGTGCGGGCATCCGGCTGTGGGTGCTCACGGGCGACAAGGTTTCTTGGGGGGTCCCCTCGAGGAGGAGGAGGAGAAGGAGCCAGATATAGAGGAGGAGGAGGAGGAGGAGGAGGAGGAGGAGGAGGAGGGGAGGAGGAGGAGGAGGTGGAGGTGGAGGAGGGGAGGAGGAGGAGGAGGTGGAGGAGGAGGCGGAGGAGGGGAGGAGGAGGAGGAGGAGTAAGGGGAAAAGCATGAGGAGGATGAGGAGGAGGAAGAGGAGGATGAGCAGGAGGAGGAGGAGCAGGGAGGAGGAGGAGGGAGGAGGAGGAAGAGGAGGAGGAGGAGGATGAGGAGGAGGAAACCATGTGCGGTCACTCCGTGCCCGCAGGTGGCCCCTGCTGGGACCGATCGTCAGCCTGGATCGTTCGCTGCGATCGATCGCGATGGGCCGCCTGGGAGGCTGGGCTTACGCGCGCCCCGTGGCCGCGCCACACTCGGCAGGGAGGCCATTTGCGCCCTCTCTGTCCCTTGCCGCGAGTCGCGGTACTGCGGCCGCGACAGCGGCCTTCGCAGCGGGGGGGCCTTCGGCGCTGCCGTGTCCGACCGCTGCAGGCGGGCGCCGCAAACTGCGGCACGGCTGGCCGGGCTGAGCCAGCCTGGCCCTTCGTCTGCGACAGCGACGAGCAGAAGCAAAGACCTCTCTCGGAGGCAGCAGCGCCGAACAGCTCCTGGCGGAGCACCATTCGTCGATGACAACATGGACGTGCAGCTGCGGAGTCAAGTTCGACGTGCAGCATGCACATGGCCCCAACTGCGGCACGCATTAGAAGGCAAGCCGGCGACAGCCCACGCAGCAGGGCAAAGGACAACAGCAATAGCAACCACAAGAAGACCAAGGACAACGACTCGACGGCGTCCAACGGGGCCAGCGGCCAGCAGCAACAGGACGTGGCACCATGGGAGGAGATGGCTGTGGCAGAGCCGAACCTCCTGTGCGTCCGCGCAGCGACACCTTCGGAAGCTCTCCAAGCCAAGGGGTGCAACAAGGAATCTGCGGATGCCAGCCCGTACATGGACGAGGACGGCAGGACGAGCTTCAACCAAAAGATTGTGGATGGCATCATTATCCTGGAGCAGCAGCTCAGGCTGGCAAGCCAGAGCTCGCAATACATCGAAGAACGATGCAGGCGGTCAAACCGCACGACCAGTAG